AAGTTCTGAATATTTTTTAGTTTTTTCAACCTTGTGGACTTCCTTTTGCATTTCTCGTTCACATCAAATGGCTTTATCACCTCGATCAGTCGCAATTAATAAATGGAAACGAGTGTGACATCTGACAGTGTATATATCGAAACAAAATATAACAGACATCTATCGTTTTCCTTGTACGTACGTATGGCCTGTTTGATGCTGACAGACATTTTGTTTTCTGTACATCGATACTGTCACGTTTTAGAATTGCTTTTGTTAATACGTACGTACTTAAGAGTGGCATTAGTTGGTTGCATCTTACAAACCTGTAAATTTCCTTTAATTAGTGAACCTGCTTTGTGCTTTCAGAAAAAGCGAAATCTCCAGATGTCAAGATAACTCATTCTCTATGTCTCCGAAACGATCTATCAGTGCGAGAATCAAATCCTTTATCCACTCAGGAGCAGAGGGCGGCTGCAAGCAAGAAAGTTTTCTTCCACCGCCATCGATTCACCACCCAACTGAAAACACTGAGAGTGGAATGCAGCCTGAGAGTGAGAGCAACGGCACACAGGTCGTTCTATCTGGTTCACAGAATTTCAGTCCCGTAGGCTGTAGGCACCATTTGCCGACACTTCTTTTCAGAGGTTTATAATATCTGATCCGGGCATTTGACAAAGGAGAATGGTGAGCGTCGTTTGCTTCCATTTCAGGCAAGTGTTCATCGCCTTTTTATATCTTATATATGGGCAATGGGTGCATTTGTTTTTCTTTAGACCAAATCCTGTGGCCTGCTTAGGCAATGCAATAGTGGTGCTCGTTAAGTAATCTGCTGCTCTTCTATGTACGCGCGGCACGAGCAGGCGCCGAAAGAGCTTCCATGCTGCTGCACTGTAGCCGCTGCAGGGGCAGGCGCCGAAAGACTCCCCTGCCGTACTGTAGCCACAGCATAGGCATGCGACAAAGTCAGACATGCTATCACATTTAGTTACTGTAGCAGTATGGCAACCTGACATGTCTATACATTAGGATTAGATGGGTATAGTTGTATATATAGCTTTCCACTGCAACTCAGTAAAGAGAGCGAGTTCAGTTTTGCTATCTCCTCTGCAGAGCTCCGGCTAATGCTGGTGCAGGTGTTGTGTGTGCGCGCTCTGTTCTCCCTCTCTTCTTTTACCTCTAGCCATAGCGTGTGGTCAGCAACGTCAGTGAGCAGTCGGCTCACCCGTGCGAGAGATCCCGGGGCCAACAGTGCTGATGGCAGTTAGTGAGTGCCGGCATATGTGTTCCACTTCCACTGCACTACGCTTTGCCCTTCAGAGATACCCTGCTAGATACTGTTGAACGACTGTGCACAATCAAATGCAGCTGATGATTATTTTTCTTTTCTTGGGGGTGCCTTTTGGACTTAATTTGTAGCAGTTTACATATAGCTTTAGAGATTCTTCCATGCCCCATGCAGTGAATGTTACAGAACAAACAAGAGAGAAATACAAAGGTAAGTACTTGAGCTAGGTGGTTTGCTGAAACAAGGTATTATGTGGCAATTTTACTTGAACTAGGTGGTTTGCTGAAACAAGGTATTATGTGGCAATTTTACTTGAACTAGGTGGTTTGCTGAAACAGGCATTCAGGCTGATCTACTATGTTTCTACAGTATCTTTCTGCATAAAGAAAATAATCTCTCTGTTTACACAGTATAATTAATTAGTTGTTACTTCAAGTCTCTGCTCACTGCTCCTCACAAAGAAATAGAAAGTGCGCTCGTTGTATTCTTCGGTAGGAAGAAAACTGGTTGTACTTTGCCTGCTTCGAATCTTTTCATATATTTGACCTGTAGGGAACAAAAGATTTGGCCATGATACCTAGGTTTCACTTCATGGAACAATAAACGAACCTGATAGGATATAGTGCAACTCCTCAGGTGTTCGCGTTGAAAATGACGACTTACGCGTGGGCGTATCGTACCAAGTCTCAGTGTTAAAAAGGTGGTTTATTATAAAAGAGTTTCAGCACGCACTCAGCGACATGGATCGGTGGGTGTAAATGACCATCTCTTTCCGAAAAGTGCAGCGTGGAAAAACTGAACACCCACCTGCTTGTTGCATTGGTGAAGTCCAGATGAGACGACGAGCATGAAATGGATAACCTATTTGATGCGAGGAAAGGCGCCGTAGCCTGAGAAGGTGAAATTTGAAGAGGAATGCACCCAGGCCGGAATGATTCCTGGCTATCCTCATATATTGTGGTTGTGGAGGGCAAAAAAGACTCGAGCGACGTGAACTGATCAACTGAGCAGTGATCATCTGATGTGATCCATACCTTCTTACACTACTGCAGGCATTATTGCACCGTCTAAACACTACATGGACAAATTTATAACTCATAGCTAATCAAAATTGATTATCTTTTTCTCTCTTTGTTGTCTAACACAATAACATTTAGATACTTTATACGTTTTCGTCGTACATATCCGTTGGTTTTTAATATGTACTTTGCTGAAACCTTATCCTAAGTTATATCGGTTCTTGGTACATCTTTTTAAGACATCACAAATCTATATTTGTTTTTCAAATTTTAACTTCATTTTATTGGATGTCACATTTTTTATCCACACATTCAATTTAGACTCTACTGCTTATTATATCTTTTTATTCAAAATTTCCAATTATATTATGTTAAAATAGATTCTATAGATCATACATTATATTCTTAGATATTACGATGACATAACAATAGTTTCAATCTGCACCACAACACTCAAAATGTTGAATTACTCTATCAAAGAATCATATGTATAGTAATACTGTTTTATAAAAAGTGGAGTTTTCACAATTGGGTACCAATTTTGGTATGCCATAATGTTTTAGTAAAATGTATATAAAGTAATAACTTACAAAAATTATTGTGGTAGAGGGAACATTTTCTCACCACCGATAAACTCTAAATGTATACATTAATCGCCAACGTATACATATAAACATGGTTTACTTGGTGACACATGGCATTTATGTTTTTTTTTCAATTGAACATTGGTAGAACTAGGTAATTTAGGAACATATACAGTGCATTTTATCATTATTTAGTTCTCAAGAAAAAAACCAGGTATCAATTTAAAAGCCTGATTTTTTTTAAAAAATCCAAATTACTTGACCCAAACTTTTTGGGTGACTTGAATGCCCACACCTAAATATTCCCTCCATCCAAAAAGAATGGAAGTCTCGCTTCGAGAGGAGTCAAAGCATTTTAAGTTTGAACAGGTTTGCAGAAAATAATATCGACATTTGTATCTTCAACTAGGTTTGTCATGAAAACATACTTCATGGTTATCTATTAATTTTAACTGCACATCATAAATATTAATAATTTTTCTTGCATATATTTGATTAAACTGGAGATTGTTTGAGATTTCCTTCTTCTTTTTTGAGATCATAAGCCGAAGAACACAAAACACACTGCGATAGGTGCAGGCAATGGGCCGAAACGTGCCAGGAGTGCTCGGCCTTTAAGGAAGAAACTCCAGGCTATTGGGCTGCTAATCCTCGCTCTCTTTTGGGCCATATGTCGCCGTCCGGAGTTTCCCACACCAGCCCGCGCGCTCGATTTGCTTTCGCAATTTCCTCTCGTCGCTCGCCTCTAGCGCCTCGGCGCCGCGGCGATTTTGCCACTGTGTTGGTGTTGCAGCCTGGTTCCGATCGACAGCTTCCTAGCTATCTCGGCGTCCGTCGATTCTCGTTCCCCTCCGAGCTCCAGACCCCTCCTTGTCATCCCACCGCTCCCCAGACGCGCGCAGCGGGTGCTGACTCGGTGGGTGTGGGGTTACATCTGCTACTGCGGCGAGGGTGTTCGACGGAATGCCCCACACTGGGCGAGGTAGTCAGCGTATCTTCTCTGACCGTATTTTTTTTCTCCATTATCGAAGTTGATGATTTGATGTGCTATAGTGTCAGTGCTACGTAGGGTTGGACCGAAAATATGCCCTGCTGCTGGTTGGACTGAAATATGTCCTGCTGCTGCATGTAGAGTATAGTTTTGGGTGCTCCGTATCTCTGTCATTCCCCTTTTACAACTTATTGCCTCTGAGTTTCTGCATGATATGATCATAGTCCCTGTGGTTTCATTTCGCGATGGGAATTGGACCTGTTATTTTTCCCCCTTTTTGTAGAAGCCTAGTTGAGATAAGCCCTAAGTAACTTGAGTTTTGTGGAACACTGTTTAACACCATCCTGATTCAGGGTGACCTCTTCTGGAAACAAAAAAAAAAAAGCCCTGTATTAAATTAGTGTTCACATTAGTTAGCTTCAAAAGAATTACTGTCTGTAGCTTTTGGCCAAAGCACCAAATCATTTCATCCTTCAATACTGTTGTTCTGTCATTCCAAATGGTCGTGACCTATCCCCTCTGATTTTATAGTTATCTATCAATTCTATTCGGTAAATAAATTCTACAAGACTGAAAAATTGATATGAAACATGGGGTTATTGTCACTGGAATACTAGTGTTCAGTGCCACAGTATAAGCGCCATGCTGAATTCTGGTCGTTCAGCCCCAAGGTTTTAAACCAGCAGCTCCATTAGTTTAGTTCCTGATTTGTTTTTTCAATTGTTTTTTTTTTCATTTTCAACCATTTGTACAGCTTTTAATGAAATTCCAATGTATTTTCTCATTTTGATTTCATTTAAACTTGTGTTCCTTTTTGATGGGATCTTATTTCTCAGGATTAATTAAATTTGATAGCAGAAGATACACCAAACTGTGATGAGTATCACAAGGTTGTTACTTGTATTAACTTGCTATTTCTTTTGGCGATGCAATGCAATGGTCTATTAAGTTTCTGAAGGTGGACAAACAAGCTGAAACATTCACAGTTAAGCCTGCAGAGAATTTTTATCTGCTCTTAGCATGAAGCAAAGATCCAAATGATTTTCCTTTTAAATTTCCTTTTTGTGAGTACAAATTCCATTTTGTGAAGTTTGCCTTCAAATAAAACTGAGAGAGCTTGGGGCAGCTGCCTTGCTTGGATGGACATTTGGTTTAACCATCATGCTATGAAACAGTGTGCCAATTCTCTTATTGCTGTATTCTCGGGAATTCATTTTGGTGCTCGTTCTTTTTGTAACAAGCTAAACCATGGAATTGCCCTAAAGGATAGAAGCCTTATTAGGTTTGACAGGGATTTGATTGCCATGTTTGCACTACATGAACTTTTGCAACAGTGTACAAAGAAGAGGTCCCTCTTGGTTGGGAAAGGCTGCCATGGTTTAGCCATCCATTTGGGTTTGGCCACTGATACTATCACATGCAATATTCTTATCAACTTATACACAAAATGTGGCAGGAATGATTACGCTCGCGATGTTTTTGACGCAATGTCTTTCAGAAGCATAGTCTCATGGAATACCATGATTGCTGGGTATACCTGCAATGGAGATGGTTTACAGGCTCTGAAGCTTTTTTCAAAGATGCACAAAGAAGGGACACAGATCAGTGAATTTACCCTGTCCAGCACCCTATGTGCATGTGCTGCAGAACATGCTACTATAGAATGCAGACAATTACATACTTTCGCAATCAAGCTTGCATTGGACTCTAATAGTTTTGTTGGAACTGCAGTTCTTGATGTTTATGCAAAGTGTAATATGATTAATGATGCTTGTTTGGTTTTTCAGAAGATTCCTGAGAAAACTGCAGTTACATGGAGTACATTGTTTGCAGGACTCGTGCAAAATGATCTTCACGAAGACACATTGCGTCTATTCCAGAGTTCACAAAGGGAAGGAATACAATTGACTGAATTCACTCTTTCTGCTATACTCAGTACACGTGCAAGCCTAGCATTGATGATTGAAGGAATTCAGCTGCATGCAGTTATTATCAAGTATGGATTTAATGGTAATTTGTTTGTGGCATCATCTCTTGTGGATGTTTATGCAAGGTGTGGGCAGATTGAGGAAGCCTATCTAGTATTTGCTGATATGAAACACAAGAATGTTTTCCTGTGGAATGTAATGATCGCTAGTTTTACTAGGCATGGCAAATCTTGGGAAGCAATGATTCTCTTTGAGAAAATGCAGCAGTCAGGGATATCTCCGAATGAAGTTACTTATGTCTCAATGATGTCCGTGTGTGGTCATGCCGGTTTAGTTGAAGAGGCCCGATGCTACTTTGGCCTGCTGATTTCTGATCAGACTGTTGAACCTAATGTCCTTCACTATTCTTGCATGGTTGATGTTTTGGGGCGATCTGGGAAGACTGGTGAGGCTTGGGAACTGATACAACAAATGCCATTTGAACCAACTCCTTCTATGTGGGGATCTTTGCTTGGTTCATGCCGTAAGTACAGGAATGTTGGAATAGCCAGACTAGCAGCTGAACAGCTTTTCAAACTTGAACCAGAAAATGGTGGGAACCATGCTTTGCTTTCGGATGTATATGCTGCCAGCGGAAGCTGGGAAAATGCTGTGTTGGTAAGGAAGTATTTGAATGACACTGGTGCAAGGAAAGATATGGGCTCAAGTTGGATCTAGGCAAAGGGTAATTCTCATATTTTTGGTTGTAAGCAAAAAGAGGAGCTGTTTGTGCAGACATTCACTAATGGAGGTTACAATCAGCATTGCCCATGGTCAGAGAGATCAAACAATCTCAGAATTTTAAGCATGGCCCATGTTCTTATGGGGACTTCTGGTAATTGAGGACTAAATGAGGAATAACAAGCATTTATCTGTGACTCTCCAACACTCGTACACTCTCATCATATATTAAATTATTGCCTTGTGGTAGTGGCAGTGGAACGATGCACAGAAGGTAAATGTCAGCACTTCTACTGTTAACATTGTCATTGAAGTCAATAATGTTAATGTCATGCTCCTGGCCCCATCTGGTGTAACATCAACACTATCATTTGAATGTTAATTATAAGAGTAGGTAGTGTGACCTACAAAAGCATACCTTGTACTGTGCTTTTGTCATCATACATCATAAGCCATTGTTTCCTAGCACTAACAATGAAACATTTATATAGTACATTACCATCTTGTGGCTTTGATGGCTTGTACCCATTCCAATTACTAGTTAGTCTAGTACATTGCCATCTTTTTGCTTTTCTGATAGCAGTTTTGAGATCTTTTCAACTCTCTGCACTATACAGTGTAACATATGAAGTGCCAATAAAGTGAAAATACTCGTCATCTGATCATCTTTGCCAACTTAGCTGTGCATAGTTTGGTACAACCTGACATATCTTAGGTCCTACAGAACCTCGGCTGGTCCACCATCTGCCCATGTTTACATCTGTCTCTCCGGAAATGTACTGCGTGCGTACAAAAAGCTGGCGTCTAGAGCCACTAGCAGGTACTGAGGAAAGGGCAAATAATAGACACTAGAGATCATTGACTATTCATCAGGTTAGCCATTTCTTGTGGGCCAACCATATTTTGGTTTGTCATCAGCCTCATGTGGCTGATGCCTGATGGGTTTCAGTCATAGCATATTGTAGGCCCGACCAGTTTCTTGGGCCAGGCCTCTGGTACCTCAATTATCCTGGGAGGCTGGGACTCGTTTACTCATGTGCGTGAGGCATCATGCACATTCATCTCGGACTGTCGGATTCTCGGCTAGTAGTGGTCATCATTGTCTGCTTTCCATCAGATCAGACATTGTCGGAGTAATTCTTGGTTTTCCTTGCTCTTGCTGATCACCCACAGTCATACATATATTTATCCTAGAGAGTGACATTGAAATTGAACTTTTCAAGGTGATTATTAGAGAAAGGGTTTATTACTTTGTTCGCAGACAAGAAAAAAAATGCATATTTAGCTGGACCGTACCTTTACTTGAATGATGTGGTTAGTTTAATTTGTACTTTGGAATAATAGTTTCTATCCTTTGACAATGATTGTTAAGTCTCTGTGTTGGCTAGTCTTCGTGGGGCTGCAGCTAGGACAACAACATCTTAGCATCTAGGACTAGCATCTAGTACAGCATCTAGGACTAGCATCTAGGACAGCATCTAGGACAGCACCTTAGCATCTAGGACTAGCACCTTGGCATATGCTTGGCTGGCTAGCAGCCTATAAATATGTATACCCAACCCCTCAGGTTGGCACGACATTTGGAAATAAACCAGAAAATTGCCCCAACTCCTTGTGTCATTCTCTCTCGATGAGAGTAAGAATTCAGCGACTAACAAGTGGTATCAGAGCCGTACTATCCTGTAGCCTGAGCATCTCCTGCTCATCTCCTTTCCCAGCCGCGCAACAGCCCCAGCTGGGAGCAGCAGCAGCTCCGGCCGCTCCTGCTCACTCCTCTCCCTCTGCGCAGACGAGCAGCAACTCGTCTGAAGCATCCCTCTCCCCACGCAGCAGCCCCCCGGTAGCGCGTCATGTCCGCAGGGCAGTCTCAGCGCTTGGTCACCTCGAGCACGCGGCGTCGGTAGGAGGCCGAACTTGCCGCGGCAGAGGAACATGAGCGAGCGGCGGCAGAGACCGCTGCGGCGGCGGCAAGGGCGTTGAGGTCCGGTAATGGCGGAGCTGGCAAAACAGAGCCAGAGCGAGGTGGAAGCAATGGCAACGGCGCGATGCACGGCGCGTCGGCGCAGCGGCGAGTCGAGGCTCACGCGACAAAGATCGCGCAGTTTTCTGCTGGCGACAGCAATACGCGACGCGGTCCTCGAGCTGTTGGAGGGGGCAGCGAAGCGCGGGCGGGCGCGCATGATGCGCCACGACGCCACGCGCGCCGCAGCCAGCCGCCGCATAACAGCGCGACGCGTCGGCGGCGCTCCTGGAGGAGGCGCGCACGACGGTGGCGCCCCTGGAGGAGGCGCGCACGGCGGTGGCGCTCCAGGAGGAGGCGCGCACGGCAACGATGGCGGATGGGTCGATGGAGAGCATGGCCTTCACAGGCAGCGTGGCTCTCTCTCCCCGGATCGGTACCGTGGTTACCAAGGGCTCCAGGCTGTTGTCAGGGACGTAGGCCCCGGCGGTGGGTGGCCTACCCTCACTAAGACCAACTACGTCGAGTGGGCTACGGTGATGAGGGTAAAGCTCCAGGTGCGGCACATGTGGGAGGCAGTCCGGTACGGCGACATCGACTACGACCAGGATCGACGGGCGCTGGATGCCCTCATCGCTGCAGCCCCGTCGAGATGCGCTCGCTTACCAACAAGCGGATCGCCAAGGAGGCTTGGGGCGCCATCGCTGCGGCACGCGCGGGCAACGACATCAGCGCGCAAAGTCCACACTGCGGGCGCCGCGAGGAGTGGGAGAACCTGGCCTTCTAGCCAGGTGAGGACGTTGATGACTTTCCTCTCCGTCTCAACACTCTGTTGCAGAAGATGGTGCAGTTCGGCGATGACACCTACGACGAGGAGAGAGCTGTCGCAAAGCTCTTCTGCTGCGTCCCCGAGAAGTACAAACAGATGGCTCGCTCAATCGAGTCCCTGCTGGATCTCTCCACGATGTCGATCGAGGAGGTGATAGGTCGCCTCAAGGTCGTCGATAGCGATGAGCCACGCCTCTCTCTGGGCCCATCACCATCGGGCGGAAGCTTCTTTCTCACTTGGGGGAGCGATGGGCTGCCCGCCAAGGTGAGCGGAAGAAGGGAAGCCTTCTTCCGCGACAAAGCGCCGCATAAGCGTGGCAAGCCGCGCAGGCGTCTGAGAGACGCCAGGCCGGGCACGAGGACGTCTGCGAGGGTGATGCCAGCGAAGCCCAGGCGACGACGCCGCCAAGCACAAGCCGGCGACGAGACGACACTGCCGCCGCAATCGGCGCAACCTTAACCATTGGGCCAAGGATCGTCGACAACCACGACGCGCGGCCAGCCCATGTCGCCTGGGGAGGAGGAGCCGGCTCTGTTCATGGCACATGCAAGCATCGAGCTACCTACAGCGGCACTGGCCGCAGCGGCTTTCCTCCACCTTGACGAGCCAAAAGCACACGCCCTCCTTGGCGATGGCTCCGGCAATGACAAGACTGACGGGTGGTGCCTCGACACCGGCGCCACCCATCACATGACCGGTCGACAGGAGTTCTTTACCGAGCTTGACTCTAGCGTCCGAGGCTCCGTCAAGTTTGGGGATGTCTCCGACGTGGAGATCAAGGGTGTCGGCTCCGTCATCTTCACCGCCGTGTCTGGTGAGCACAGGCTGCTCACCGGAGTCTACTCCATCCCCGCGTTGAGGAACTCCATCCCCGCGTTGAGGAACTCCATCATCAGCTTGGGACAGCTAGATGAGAACGGTTCGCGCGTGGTGGTTGAGGATGGAGTCATGAGGATTTGGGATCGCCGTCGCCGCCTTCTTGCCAAGGTATCTAGAAGCGCAAATCGACTCTACGTCCTTAACGTGCAGGTGGCACAACCCCTCTGTCTCGCTGCTCGTCGGGATGACGAGGCGTGGCAGTGGCACGAGCGCTTCGGGCACCTTCGCTTCGAGGCCCTGAAGCGGCTCAGTGCCACGGAGATGGTGCGAGGCCTACCGTGGAGCAGCTCTGCGACGTCTGCGTGTTGACGAAGCAGAGGCGACTCCCCTTTCCCTAGCAGGCGAGCTTTCGAGCTAAGGAGAGGCTCGAGCTTGTGCAAGGGGACTTATGTGGCCCGGTGACACCGGCCACACCGGGAGGACGACGCTACTTCCTGCTGCTCGTCGACGACCTCTCCCGCTACATGTGGGTGATGGTCCTCGGCAGCAAGGGAGAGGTTGCGGACGCCATCAAGCGCTCGCAGGCTGCTGCGGAGGCGGAGTGCGGCCGCAAGCTGCGCGTGCTGCGCACCGACAACGGCGTTGAATTCACGACGGCTGAATTCGCGTCGTACTGCGCTGATGAGGGCATTCAGCGCCACTACTCCGCGTCGTATAGCCCGCAGCAGAACGTCGTCATTGAGCGGCGCAACCAGACGGTTGTGGGAATGGCTCGGGCCCTTCTCAAGCAGAGAGGGATGTCGGCTGTCTTCTGGGGAGAGGCGGTGGTGTTGGCTGTCTACATCCTCAATCGCTCGCCTACCAAGGCGCTCGACGGCAGGACGCCGTACGAGGCTTGGCATGGGCGTAAGCCGGCGGTCTCCCACTTACGGGTCTTCGGTTGCCTCGTGTTCACCAAGGAGTTTGGCCACATCAGCAAACTCGACGACAGGAGCACTCTGGGAGTGTTCATCGGCTACGCGGAGGGCTCGAAGGCCTACCGTATCCTCGACTCGAAGACACAGCGTGTGCGCACGGCGCGCGACGTTGTGTTTGACGAAGGACGAGGATGGGCGTGGGACTAAGCGGTGGACGACGGCTCGGCTCCGACGTACGACGACTTCACTATCAAATACGTCCACTTCGAGGGAGCTGGGGGAGTAGGCAACTCTTCTTCGACGAGCGCGTCTACCCTAGTCCCCGAGCCTCCACCGACCCCGGCGCCTGCTACTTCGACAGCACCACGCTCTCCAGCCAGGACCTTGGCTGCGATGAGTTCTTCGCCGACTCCACCACAGTCGGCACCGCCACGCACTCTAGCACCGACAGGCACCTCTTCGGGCACGTATA